AGATGGAGCTGCTCCCCACAATAGTAAACTCCTTCCGGCTGAACACCAAACAGTCCAAACCCACCATCCTCCCAAATCAACCACCAGACAAAGAAAAAACTACCTCAGATATAAGAGAGCAGAAGTGAAACAAAAAAGTTATCAAGCCAAATAGGTGCAAGGGAAAGCTTCAATCCTTCTTGCATGCAAAATTGAATAGGAACTTCTACCACCAACTAATTAAGTGATCAATCATAAGAATCTGGTCTCCTGCATCTATCCCTAGTTCCCTGCAGACAAAGACTACTTCCAAAAGCAAAATCCAAATGGCCTTCCCAAGAAATGGAACCTCTCTTCTGCCTTTTGCACCTTAGAATAAACCTCCCAAAGAATAAACCACTACTATTGTCCTCCCACACCACCTCATCACTTCATTTCCAAACCATGCTCACTCGATTTAATTATAGAAAGAGATAACTGAGTCAAGTTCTAAATCTCAAAAGATCAAACACACTGAGGGTAGAGACCTGTGAAGATCCTTGCTCTCCCAAGTCCCAACACATGGTATCAACCACCATATCATTATCAACCTCAAGGAGTTTTAAAACTACAAGTTTCATATATCCACACCATTCATCATTACAAGATTCTGAAACCATACCTAACCATGAAGTGATTCCAGTTGGTAAAAATCAAAAAGCCCTGAAAAACCCTTTACAACCCCAAACCCATAATAGGTCCTGTATCCTGAAAATACCAACTATCCCTCTTACTTCCTAAACAATTAAAATTCTTTTGCAGTGCCATTGTTGCCAAATTTTCAAAGTAGCTTTTTTTAATTAAGGAAATAATTAACAATTCAAATTCACTTGGCACTTCCATTTTGCTCATGATCTCTTCCTTTTTTGTCAAAATCAAACAAAAAGTCGCATTTATAGAGTTATTTTGTAATCAAATGTAGTCCTGACACTCCACAAATGTAATCAATTTGAAGTTTTGAGACATTACAAGGACTAAACAAATTCGAAAAACTGCCATAAAAACGAAACCTTTGAGCAGCACAAAACATCGATTCGTCTCAATTCCATATAACCAGAATTCTCCCTTTGGAACAAATGTATCGAATTGGAAAAAAAATAAATAAATAAACAATTAAGCTTAAAAATTGTTTTCAATATAAAAGGGAACAAGTTACGGCCATTATTGATCTCTTCCTTTTATATGTTTTGCTGTGCATAAAAATACATGTTCTATTTATTTATCACTTCCCAATAAAATTATCTTAATTTGAAATCCCAAAAGCAAAAACCAGTATCACATCAGATATTAACAGAGACTTTCAAGAACATACAACATTAGAACATCAACAACAGAACGATTAAGATGAATTCAAATATATATATATATATGTGTGTGTGTGTGTGTATGAGCTACAGAAAAAGAGTGTGTACGGGAGGTGCTTGAAGACGAGAAAGACAATTAGAGCAATGTTGAGGCGCTCGTTGTAAGTGGGGACGATTATACTGTACTTGTTCTTCTCCTTCTGATGCTCCATTATCAATCAAAAACCTAAAAACCCAATTTGTCTTTGACACGGAGAGAGAATTGATAGATGGGTGAGACCCAATTTTTCAATCGGATCGCCTTCCAACCAGACGGCAGACGCAGAGAGATTTGCACAATGGGCCGGATCAACACAGTATTTGTTTTCGTTCCGAATGTAAATGGATCAGGTTTAAAAAACTCATCTCGGTCCAGATGGTTTGGGCTTTGAGCTTGGTCTTTCTGAAATTCCGTCCAATAATTATTTGTTAATTTAGCAATTAGCTATTTTCATTAAAAAGAAATGGAAATATGTTTTGTGTCTTGTTGATCCTAATTTCAACTAGGTTAATATATTATTATTTTTATCTTAAATTAATTTTAATCCGATTCTAATTTTAAAACATGAATTTCTTTATGCTATTAGACGCAGTGTTGGAAAAATTAAAAATATAAAAAATTCAAGTTCTATTAAATTTTCATGTGTAATAATAATGTAATATACTTGGGAATAGAACTTTATTACAAAGTGACAAGTGCTGTATTTAAATATGATTGGTAATACAACCCGTGTTTATGCACTCCAATTAGGATTAGGATTTGGGATAAAGAGGTTGCATGGCAGATTGACTTGAAATATAAATTAGGAGGGATATTATATTTTTTTAATTTATAATGGATATTATATTGTTTGATTTTTTTATAATATAATAATTAAAAATTTTATTAAAATTTTTAAAAATATTAAAATATTAATATTTTTGCACAAGAAAAACTTTTAGGTCCAAAACAGACCCTAAATTTAGATTGCCTTCTAAACCAGGTGTGAACGCTAGAGCTGCAACCATATTGAAAGGACACAAGGCTTTTTACTTACAACATAGGCCCAAAATATCTCTCACATCGACCCACACCCACTCCCACACCCACACCCACCGACACACACAGACAACCCAAGACAGTACTAGGGTTTATTTGCAAAACGTTGCCAATTTCAATTCTGCTATCTTCACTTCTCCTCAGATTCTTCTCCAAACCATTCTCTCTCCACCTCCGCAGATACCTCTAAACCCGTTCATCACCAATTAAATACACATACTCTCACCTCATTTACACTATGTGGGGGTGACATACACCGGGCGTCTGCAAAACCCTAGTTTTCTCCGGCCTAGCTGCCTCCATTCTCTCTTCTCAACCCCCATTACCAATTTCATCCACTTCAAGCCCAGTCCAGACCGGCTTCCCTTTCGACTTTGATTCTCACTTGGTCTACCGTAAATCCTCAGAAATCTTTTTTTCCCGGCGTCCCCATTTGCCCTTTTTGCTTCTAATCAAGCCCTCAAAGAGTCAATACCAGCTTCAAAAGCCACATTCGGCGCTGGGTTTGCTGTTGAGAGTCTAGACTGAAGAGGGTGGAAAATGGGTGTAGATACTTGTTTCTCGTGGGTCCCAAAAGTAGCTGTAAAAGTCTGGGAATATATCACTAAGACAATATGAGGAATGCAGAGAGGTAGAAGAAGGGAGAGAAAACCAGTCCAGTCAGAAGATTTGAACAATGGTAGGAAAGAAGCTACCGTCAGTTCTCCTCTCTTTCTTTTGTCTTTGCCCCCCTTTTTATAGCCCTAGGTCATCCAGGTGGTGTCTTGTTGGGCCTCCATCCTCAGAACGGGTCAGGACCATGCCCTTTTTGGGTCATGTTGCCTTAATCCCTACTTCTTGGGATCGGCTGCTAAGTATACCTTTCCTGTTGAATAATCCAAAAAATAGCAGGCTGTAAAGGCAATTGTACAATTCCAGCGGTCTTTTGCTCTTATCCTCAAACTAGGTCTTGCCTTAGTAGGCAAGACATTACTAATTTTTCATCCTCCATTCCAAAATCCCTTCTGCATCCCAAAGTTACTCGAGGAGTCCTACCACAACTCCTCGTTGATCAAGGATAGGTCAGGGTTCAAAACCCGTCGCTCGGCAAGTTTTGAAGGGGTCATGTTGAGGCTCAAGGCCCGTCAATCGACAGATTTTTGCGAAGGTCGAATTGACGTCCAAGGCCCGTCGATTGATGAATTTTTGCGGAGGTCGGGTCGAGGTTCAAGGCCCATCGATTAACAAATTTTGTAGGTTGGATCAAGGTTCAAGGGCCATTGATCAACAAGCTTCATAGAGGTCAGATCAAGGTTCAAGGCCCATCGATCGACAAGCTTTGTAGAGGTCAGATCGAGGTTCAAGGCCCATCGATCGACAAGTTTCGTAGAGGTCAGATTGAGGTTCAAGGCCCATCGATCGACAAACTTTGTAGAGGTCAGATCGAGGTTCAAGGCCCATCTATCAATAAGCTTCGTAGAGGTCAGATCGAGGTTCAAGGCCCGTCGATTGACAAATTTTGTAGAGGTCAGATCGAGGTTCAAAGCCCATCGATCGACAAACTTCGTAGGGGTCAGATCGAGGTTCAAGGCCCATCGATTGACAAATTTTGTAGGGGTCAGATCGAGGTTCAAGGCCCGTCGATTGACAAATTTTGTAGAGTTCAGATCGTGGTTCAAGGCCCATCGATTGACAAACTTCGTAGGGATTAGATCGAGGTTCAAGGTCCGTCGATTGAAAAACTTCATAGAGGTCAGATCGAGGTTCAAGGCCCATCAATCGATAAACTTCGTAGGGGTCAGATCGAGGTTCAAGGCCCGTCGATGGACAAACTTCGTAGGGGTCAGATCGAGGTTCAAGGCCCGTCGATTGACAAATGTTGGCCCAAAGTTAGATACCCAGTGATCGATACCCAGTGATCGGTTATTGTTGAGGTGGACTTTGTCAGAATATTGATTGTTTGACTTGACCTTTGGTGACGTGGTTGCACCACATCCACATTTAGTCCCCCTGCATGTGGCGTTTTGAATTTTGAAATAAAAGACAAAACGGCGAGTGCATAAAGACGTGATGATTAATGACATTGGAAACCGAGGCGTTTGCGGCCGATAGCGGCTATGTATTTAATAGGAAAATGATGAGACATAACCGTTGAGTGTCATCGTCTTCCCCAAAACTGAACCTTGGTTGTGATAAAGCTTTAACCAGCTAGAGTTTATAGGTTTAGCCTTGCACCCGTCACCCTACATTCTGCAGTAACCATTGGGCTGGACCTCGATAACAACATAAGGTCCTTCCCATTTGGGGGTGAATTTCGGGGCAGAGGTGCTGTGCATAATATGTTTAGCGGCTTTAAGAACAAGATCACTGACTTGGAATGTACGAGGGCGTACATGCTTGTTGTAGGCTTTGGCCAAGGTGTGTTGATAAACTTTGAGGTACTGTCTAGCCAACTCCCGTCGTTCATCTAGGGCTTCAAGATGAGTGAAATGATCAACCTCACTTCGAACTGCCAAGGCAGCGGCGGGAAGGGTAATCTCAATCGGGAGAATAACTTCCGTGCCATATAGGAGGGAAAAAGGAGTTTGGCCTGTGGCGCGCTTCTTAGAAGTGCGTTGGGCCTAAAGAGCTAACGGCAACTGGTCAACCCAGTTAGATTTATGCTTGGCAACCGTGCAACTGAGAATTTTGAGGAGGGATTTGTTGGTTGCCTCGGCTTGACCATTGCCTTTGGGATAGTAAGCAGAAGATCGGTGCTGTGTGATGTTATATTGTTGAAGGAGCTGAGCCACCCGAGAATTGACAAAAAGCGTGCCATTATCCGATAGAATAATCGCCGGGATGCCAAAGCGGCAAATGATGTGCTCACGAATAAAGGTGGAGACAACGATGCCTGTGGTATGTCGTAAGGGAATGGCTTCGACCCATTTGGAGAAGAAATCAGTGGCGGTGAGAATCCAGTGCATTTGACGGATCGTTGGATTGATTGAGCCAATGAGATCTAAACCCCAAGTGTGGAAGGGCCAAGGGGCAGTAAGAGGGTGAAGTGCAGTAGGCGGAGTATGGATTTGATGGTGATGATATTAACATGGCTTGCATTGTTGAACAAGTGTCTTGACATCGTACTCCATCGTTGGCCAATAGAGCCCTTTGTGGATCAAGTGTTGAAACAATTTGTAGGCACCCTGATGCTCGAGGGAATGGGCTTGATGAAGTGCCTCGTAGATCTCGGCGCCAGCAAGGCATCGCAAGAGGTCTCCTTCGCGCGAGAGGGGAAACAATTGACCATCACAAAGCTGGAATCGCGATGCCTGATGCTTAAGTTTGGCAGTTAGGGCTGGATCGTCCGGGCGATGGCCATGCTGAAGATAACGGATAAAGGGAATTCGCCAATCGGCTGGTTCGAGTTCAAGAATCTCAGCAGTGTCCGGGCATTTTTGACAAGCGACACATGCACGTTGCAACGCAGCCGCATGACTTAACATTTGAGGCCAATAATAGCCTTGGCGCTAGAGTCGTCGATAAAGAGCGATATCAGTAGTAACACAATATTGCTGATGGACGCAGGAGAGAACTTCACTAGCCTCTGTATCCCCTAGACAGCGACTAAGGATGCCAGAGGGAGATCGGTGATATAAGACCCCTTGGATTAAATAGAAGTTTTTGAGCTGAGCAAGAGGTAAAGAACCTATGAAAGTCTGCATTTGATTGATGATTGGACGGCGCCAATCAGTAAACTCCTCGGGAGGAAGAAGACTGACGATAGCAGGTTCTGTTTGTTTTCGAATAGTGATATGTTGAGTATTGCCGGAGATATCGAGTTTTGAAGCAAGCGTGGCAAGGGCATCAGGGTATCGATTGACAGATCGAGGGATATGAGCCAGGCGAACAAAGGCGAATCGCGAGAGAAGCTTTTGAATGATTGTGCGATATGAAGCCAAGGAAGGCTCGCGAATCTCCAGAAGTCTATTTGACAATCAACTTGGAATCACCATCAATGCATAACCAGGAGATCTGTCTATCGAGTGCTGTTAAGAGTCCGAGAATGAGTGCTTCATATTCAGCTTCATTGTTGGTACATTTGAAGTCTAGCTTGACAGCAGCAGTGGAGGTGAGAGTTGGGCAGGAGAGCATAATGCCAGCGCCCCCTCCTTGCGCTGTGGAAGAACCATTGAAAGAAAAGTGCCACTCCTGGTGCCGCTCGAGAGAGGCGACCTGTAAGTCATCGAGGGATAACTGTTCATCGACCGGCTCATGAGCTTCATTGGGAAATTGAGCAAGCAAATCTGCGAGGGCTTGGCTTTTGATGGCACGTGGCTGCTGGCAGGTGATGTCGAATTCTGTGAGATAGATGAGCTATCACGCGGCCTTGCTTGTAAGTATTGGCTTGGAGAGGAGATGCTTATAGGGATCACACTTGATGAGGAGAATGATGCGATGAGCAAAAAAATAGTGACGGAACTCATGCGCAACGAAGACCAAAGCAAGGCAATGCTTTTCAATAAGAGAGTACCATTCTTCAGCATCGCGGATCAGGCGACTAATGTAATATACCGAGCGCTCTTGATCATTAACTTCCTGTGCAAGTAGGGCCCTTATGGATCGCGGTGTAGAAGTAATGTACAAGAAGAGGGGCTGGTCTCTTTGTGGGGCATGCATGATCTGTGGGGATAAGAGCACATGCTTGATTTTCTCGAAAGCCGCCTGATGAATGTCTGTCCAAGAAAACTTCGCTTTTCCTTTAACAAAGGTGCTAAAAGCGTAGGTTGCATCAGCGAGGGCTTGATGAATGTCTGTCCAAGAAAACTTCACTTTTCCTTTAACAAGGGTGCTAAAAGCGTAGGTTGCCTCAGCGAGGGCTGGCAAGAAACGACGAAGATAAGAAACTTTACCCAAAAAACTCTTCAACTGTCTTGCAGTCATTGGAGAAGGCATGTCAATGATTGCTTTGGACTTTACTGGATCAACTTCGATGCCCTGGCGAGTGACCATGAAGCCTCGAAATTTGCCATGGTTAACACCGAAAGCATATGTGAGGGGATTCATCTTGAGATTATATTGATGGCAACGTTCAAACACTTGGCGCAAATCATGGAGGTGGTTGGCTGCTTGTTTGGACTTTACGACCAAATCATCCACATAATCCTCGAGATTGTGATGAAGTAAATTGTGTAAGATAGCAGTCATAGCTCGTTGGTAGGTGGCACCTACATTTTTCAAACCGAAAGGCATGACAGGATAGTGGAAGTTACTAAGAGGAGTTCGAAAGGCGGTCTTCTTAGCATCGCCCCCAGCCATCCGAATCTGGTTATAACCACTAAAGCCATCCATAAAGGAAAACATTTCATGACCTGTAGTGCCATCGACCAAAGTGTCAATAATGGGCAACGGGAAATCATCTTTTGGGCAGGCCTTGTTAAGATCCCTGAAATCAACACACACTCGGATTTGACCATTCTTTTTCTGCATAGGGACAATGTTGGCTAGCCACGTAGGGTGAATGATGAGCTTGATAAAACCAGCGGCTAACAACTTCTGGACCTTATCTTTGATTTGCAGCTCGAGTTCCGGCCGAAAAGTGCGTGAGCCTTGCTTAACCAGGCAAACATTGGGCAAGACATTAAGATGGTGGGAGACCAGCGACGGGTGGAGCCCCGACATCTCGCTGTATGTTCATGCGAATATATCGCGAAATTCCTGCAAAAGGGAAACAAGATGAGAATGATCGTGAGAGCTGAGTGAACCCGAGAGAAACGTAATACGAGGCTGCTCATTGGAGTGGGCCAGGTTAACTTCAACAAGATCTAGCAATGGTGCCTTGTCAAGGATCCGAGGCTGATAATCTGGGGGTCAGTAGAGTGAACCTTAGCTGACCCCGGGCACCGTCATAAACGGTAGATGACATGGCCATTGGGGAGGCGAACACGCTTGCATTCACGTGGAGTATCACTGGTCTGAACTGGGGATGACGGATGAAAAATACCCTTCTGGGCGTCTGCCCAAGTAGGTAAAGGGGTACTGATAATGGTCGCATCGCAATCTTGCATGCAGTCATCAAGGTCATTGAAGAACAAAGCGTCAGTATAATGCGGCTCAAAGGTAGCAAAGGGACGATCCAAACACGGGACGGTGATGACCTTGTTGTTCCAAATGCCTTTGAAACACAGATGGTAAGTAGATGGAATAATGCCAAAGCGGTGCATCCATGCGCACCCCAGCAGGACGTGATAAGATGTATCGCTATCAATGACATGGAACTTTGTAGAGGTCTGAAATTTATTAACAGCTAGATCGAAATTAACGCAGCCCATCGTGCGACGAAGATCATTACCAAACCCAGCAACTTCAATTAGCTCCTTGACCAGGCGATCTTCTGGGATGCCTGCTTTGCGAAAAGTGGAGAGGGGCATGAAATTGATGGGGGAACCATTATCAAGAAAAACACGTTTGAACTCTACCCCTTTGATGGAAGCCAACACGTACAGTGGTTGATTTTGAGCACCTTAACTCTGTTTGTCAGAATTAGAGAAAGATAGGGTTGTCTGTGGTGCAGAGTGAGGTTTAGCGGAAGCAACCAAAGGAACACATCCCGTTCTGAAAGTTCAACATTTTGGCCTGAATGCGTCTCTGCAAGCTCATCATAACAGGTGATAACAGCCACCCGATGATCAAGGTATGGGAAACGGCGAACAACTTTGGGGGGAGTGACTTTGAGATCACCAGATGCCACTCGCCATTAGAAGAGACGGCACAAACCACAGCAATTAACAGTAGGGTGGGTGATACTCTGGTGGTAAACGCAGAAATAAGCATGAGCTCTATCTGCTGGGGTGGGCTCGCGACGTGGAGTGGGTAAGATAACGACGCCGTCCTTGACCCATTGGGCAAGAATATTCTTGATCTCCTTGATACGAATGGTGAAAGGTGGTGGCTCTTCATCTTGCGGCTTAAATTGGGACTTGTCGAACCGCTTTCATGGACGCTTTTCGATAGTTGCTGTAGGCGCAGGCTTACGGTTGGAAGACTTTGGAGCCTCAAACTTGGGAGCATCATACTTCGGAGGTTCATACTTAGCAGTGACTGGCTTAAGATCTTTAAGGTTTCCAGCTGCGATATTGAGTTCACCAAAGCTAGCAATTCTTAGGTTGACAAGATGGAGCTTGTAGATCTGCAACATGCCTTGGATGCATATATCAACCAAGTCCATCTCATTGCTACTTTCGAAGCACTCTCTTACACGATCGCTGAATCGGTTGATAAAGGCAAGGACATCCTCATTGTCTTCCCAAGTTTCCTTTGTGAGAGACAAGGTGGTAACTCGTTCTTCAGCCTGGAAGAATTTGGTAAGGAAATGATCTTTTAGCTGCTCCCAGGGGTCGATGGAGTCTGGCTCAAGATTGAAATACCAACGATATGCTCGATCAGTCAAAGACTTGGAAAATTCTCGTAGGCGAATCACATGATTGTCACCAAAATGACCCAAAGCCTCCATAAACGCATGACATGCTCCCTAGGATCGCCAGTCTTGCCGTTAAATTGTGGGAACTTGAGAACCAAATACTCTTGTGGATATGGGGTTTGTGCGATAGCAAGAGGGTAAGGAGGCTCACTGCCAAAATCCAAAGTGCGAGATGTTGGTGTGCCCTTCTTGAAGAGGTCACGTACCTCAGAGCGTGTGAACACTTCTTTTGGGGCAAAGTAGGAGTAGGAGGGAAGATGACGATGTGCTTTAGGGTTTGCCTGAGCATAAGTGGGTGGGGAGCAAAACATGGGCTCTTTACCTTGAGGCAGGAAAGCACAGGGAGCCATAGGGGTTACCTGTGGTGCAGGGTTGTAAGGCTCTGGAGTGGGCTGTGACAAGTCTGCACTACGCGCTTGACCTGTTGGCGACCTCGCAATCTGTTGCTCATGCAGTGAGGCTAAAGTTACACCAGCCGGAATACTGTTAGCGAACGCCAACTGAGTTGCTGACGGAATCTCTGCAGGGATCGTCGTTGGCGTTGCTGTGATACCCTTCGATTCTAGAGCCACGGATGATCAAGTCCGAGCACAAATCCGAGAGATATCAAACAATTAATATGTAAAACGAACACGGAATACAAAACTGAATTTAAAAGAAATAAATAATATAGCTGAAAAGAATTCTAAAATAAAATCCTTACAGTTTAAAAATTAAAATAATAATAATATTCCAAACTTTCCAATCTCTGTACAACTCGGGAATCCATCTAGTGGACCCCTTAGAATCCAATCTGAACTAAACAACCGAAGATTAAATCCCAATCTAAAACATAAAATGAAATCCTACATTATCAAAGGAGTGAGTGTCTGTATCTGCTCTGCACGTCCAAGCTCTAGCCCTGGAACTGACGAACACCTGAAAAATAAAGGAGTGGGTCAGGCCCACATGCAAGTCCTATTCTACTATAATCCAATCAGAAACCCGATACGCAGATACATCCTAGATAGCTCAACAATATCTAGA